ACTATGATGTCCAGCTCTAAGGATGCCCGTCATAAGCTCAGCAAGAATTCATTGAGATCGCAGGGCGGTGTACCGAGGATATATTTGCACAAATCTACAATCCTCCCCCACATTCTCTAATGGAATCAGCTTACGAATCCCTTCCACTCGCCCTTTAAATGAAATTAAAGGTACTCCAATAACATTCCACTCTGCCTTGATTTCAAACTGCCAAAGTTAGGAACAACAGACAGAAGGATGGTATGCTGAGGAATATTTCGAACAAATCCAGACCAGCAATCAGGGGAGAACCATACGATGAGCCTTGAGACAAATTGAATGTTAAAACATGCATTTATTAAGCGTTTGTATGAAAATGTTCCTTCATGTCCACAAACTACGATTGGTAAAGCCTCTAAAATACTAAAATATACTTACATTACTTAAATATGAATGTGATAAGGCTAATGCAAACACTTCCCTATCTATTTAGCGCAGAGAATTTAAGTTAAACTTAGCTACACGAGTACCTGGCGTCCAACTACTATTAGCACAAAAAGTCATAATTAGGATATGTGGAGTAAATTTTGCAAGCAACATGCAGACAAAATGCGTAAGGAGTATAGTCAAGGGTAGCATGAGGTATCCAGTTTTTTATATTCCAGGATTATTAAATCTCAGAAGCAAAAATCGCACTAATTTCCAGTATAAGTAGATCCCCAAGCTACCAGTGATTCATGTGTATGAACTTAGTCGGAATAGGTCGCTTAGTTACTTAATGACTAATAGTCAGGGCTTGTTACAATGAATATAACTCTTAATATAATTCCACAACACATGTAAGAATGTCTGTGGTTCACAGGGACGACGGGACATTTGAGTCAGGCCAGGATTCTTCCGAAGGACACGGCCTATCACTCCTCAAAACATGATCACCTAATTTTAGCAATATCGCTACGGTTCCTACGAACCGGTATAGTCTGGTAAGGGACACTAACGAGAACTAAGTGAAGTAGAAACTCTAGTCCAACCTGGATGGGAGTCTTTTAAGAAAAGCTATGAAACATTATCGTCATAAGCCCTAATAATCTCAATGAAAAGCTCAAATATCCGCTCCTGAATCACCTTAAGCGGTCTAGCGTAGCTAAGTTATTATTCGAGAAGTGTCTTGGAACATAAGTATACAGTAAATAGGTTTGAGTGCTGTCTTATAAAAAGAGATTGAATTATAGAGCAATACATAAAACGCGGGACAAATTATACCTGGGATAAACGCCTAGAGATATTTTCACAATCGCATCGATAATAATGTGATTAGCTCGCCTGGCTACTACTTTTTTTGTTTTGATGTGATGAATCATTTCAATGTCAACAGTCTATCAGGAGCAAGGAAAATAGAATATTTACAAATTAACGAATAACAAAATAGAGGAAAGGACTGAATTCACTGAAGTTAGAAAAACTTGGGAGATTTGCCGCATTAGGCCTGACAATTAGTAGAGATAAGTATGTGGAATTTTGATCTCCTGAATGCATTTCTTCTGCACATTTTTTCCATCCAATTATGAAAAATTAGGTAGAAAGAACTAATGATCACCACACATTTATTCGTACGTATATTAGAATATCATCTTATGAGGATAATCTGTCCGACTCAAGGAGAACAGGGAAGACAGATAGCGTAGCAAGTACTTTGATTCTGGATGTTTCAAAATCGCCTGCACCAATTGACGATCAATAGACTTCTGGTCTTCGCGTCGCTTGGATGACACCGTATAAATCTAAGGAAACTATAACAAAGTGAATCTAACTTTAGGTTCTTCAGGGAATAGCTTATCAACAGAATCTTTCGAAGGTGCGAGCTGAACCCTTTTAAAATAGCTGTCATTCAAATGAGCTGGTATCTTGACATTCGAAATATCTACCGCCGTTTTTGTTGCAATAACATATGCAGCACTAACCCGACGAAGCGGGACACCGTTGCACCTAAATGGACCTGGCCAATAGGAAGCACTTCACGTACCTGTGACTAGCAATAGGCCACTACTTAATGCCTTTAAGAATAGCACACGCTTCCCTTTGTGACGCCCAGCTAGGAGAATAAGTACTGTTCCAGGAGTAATACTTGGCCTCAGCGACCTCTTGTGCTTCGAAAAGCACTTGATTTTACGTAGAGGCAACTTAGTCTTAGCTTGCTGGGTCACAAAGCATCTAGGCTGTAAAAGTAAAAATGAAAAGTACGGCATACAAAACGCCCACTCCGTTTAGATTGAGGTTTGGCGCGAGGCTTGAATGGCTTGACAGCCTTAACTTTTGGCAGGCCTGCTTTAGCTCTCCTACGATTAACACGCGCAACATGGCTTTTGCGCTCCAACAATTTTTTCGCAGAAGTATTTTTTTTGACTGCGCAAGGAGGTGGTCTTTGCGGCTTATCAGCTTTCTTAGCAACCTTTGCGGATGAATCCATAACAAGACACGAGGATAGAGGGCGCCAAAGGTAATCTAGCGCGGGTAAAAGTGTTCTAAAACAAAACGAACTAGAAGACTAAGTTAATACAATGTAAATTATTATATTATTAAAGTTATTAGCTAGTATTTAATCAAATTATGCATTATTTATATATTGCATACCAGAAGAGAAAAATATTATAATTGGTTTGTCTGGTTTTTACTATTTGTTTGTGTTTAGAGAAAAAAAATCTATCATAGTAGTTTTGACGTTTTCCAAAGTCAAAGTATTATTATTATAATGTTCCAGATGTTTTGCCGGTGTGTAATGTCGCCCATATCACCTAGGCTTAACTCGTCAATCTTAGAGATTACTTCCATACCTCGACCATCTCTATGCTGAAAAATACTGACTTTTTTCCTTTCTGTCATAATTTCTTATCCAATACCTTCCAATATTCCCCTTCACTTTCAAAAATTCTATGTTGTTCATTTTGACTTACTCCATACTTGCTCCATCATAAATGGGTTAAATGAGGCCTAATTATAGCTCCCCTTCCTTGTATCTTCATTCTCCGATCAGATGTGCCACATTTGTTGTTCAAGCTTAGCCCGCTTATTAAGAATCTACTTCACTAGCACATATTGGAGTCTCATAATTTTACTGGAGGATCCTTCTCAAACTCCTAAATTATTATAGGATTGGGAGGTTTAACCTTTGTACTTTGAATATGAGCGTGCGACCAGTTATAATTGAAAAATATTCGATGGATACGGCGGAGGACGATACAATTGGCTTAAGATTTATTGTTTAGATCATATAGGGAGTCAATGAAATGAAAGTCTGATCTCGAAATTTATGCAGTTCATATGCCAAACTGGGAAAACGAGATATACAATATTAAAGTTGCATTTTATTTAGCATGAGAATTCAGGCTTTGAGGAAAGCATTGAACGTTATATCAAATGACCAGAAGGTATCATGGGAAAAAGCGCTTCCATAAATATGGATATGGTTTCAATGGCCGAGTGAACTAGAGGAATAAACATCAACACAAATGGGTTCAGAGAAAAAGTAAACTAGCTGAGAATATGAATAGATTTGACTAAATTCACATAAAATGCCACGGCTCTAAAGTAGGTAAAGATAATCAAGTTAGAAGTAGAAATTATGAAGAGTAGAGATATTAATATATTGAATAGGGGAATGTACCAAGATAGAAGAAAAAAAATATATATCTAACCATATACAAATTTACAGAGCAAGGTCAAACCAATTTAATAAAGCAAATAGAGAGCGTGAACTAAACATGAGCCACATAATCTCAGTCTTTGAAGAGTATATTTAAATATAATTTGGAACTGAAAAAGCCTCTAGCTATTACGATTAAGTACATAGGTTTTAGTTTATTGCCATCATTGATTTAACGATTTCGCTTACTTTTGCCCGAACTTTTAAATTTAAACCATTATATATGATATACAACAACTTTTCTTAACCGTTTAAAGGTAAAACTTTCGATTTTATAATCATCTTATGCTAATAAAAGTTGGGTTTCGAGGAATCTCTTTTTTCATAGTTGTTGTGCTTACTTCTATTTCGAGTGAAAGTGTTTGGTGAAGAGATTCGAAGGCTGATTCCACCAAACACCTTCACTCGAAATGGAAAAAAGCACAACAATAACCATTTCAAACCGATATTGTACAGTCTCACAAAAAGTTACTCGATCGCACTGCGCCCTATGTGAAATCAATAACATGGAGAGGATACTATACTTACTCTAAAGTTTTAGAATTTATTATTTCTCAAGGAATACCCTACTCAAAGTTTTGTAACAAATCGTTTTCCGTCAAAGTCACATGTAAAGAAATGCTTAAAGAGTTGTCTTTAAGATATGCAGACACACATATATAAAAAAACAAAACAAATAAAATAGAGGTAAACAAAAATTTATCACTCTATACTGGTTTCTCCTTATTGATTATTTGAAGGGCAGCTTGCGGGAAGTCTGTTAATATCCTGACTTAACTATAATTCTAATTTGTTATACGAATGCTGATCAGCTCTGAATATTTTTTGTAGAGCACATAAGAAAGCAAAGCTAAATATGGATCAATGGGATTCATAGTAGTGTGTCTTGAGATGAATGCATTAATTAACTTTTTGACAGGATATAAATAAGACCACCTATATACATTATTTATAGTCAAGTAACTAAGTATATTTATGTTATGGATTTACTTAAAATATTTTATTAAAAAAACTTGGGCCATCCTAATTCGCATAAGAAGATTGTAGAATTCACGGTTGGACCTTTCCTTAATAAAAGAAGTAACCTTCACTATGTCACTGAATTTCATTTAGCTTTGCTTCCCCAAAATGTTTTATTTTCCAGGATTGATGATACATCTGACTTCACCTTGGTTTCAGCAACACTCCTATAGTGATTTAAGGCCGAATTGTATGTAGTGTCTTGCAAAAACTAACCACTTCTCCACATAGTTGCAGTTGTCGATCAGTCACAGGGCAAATAAAGCGTTCGAGCCAAACCGGGCGTATAAAAATCATATTTGTAGTGATATTATGGAAAAGCTGAATTGTTATTTGTCATTACAATTGATGATTAGACTTAATTTTGAAAAGAAAAGCTTTGTTGCTTGATGAAGAGACCTTGGGTTCGTCTAAATTGGAATCCACTCTAGGCGATTTAATCGTAAAGGAACAAAGATTAAGTCAGTTTCGTTGACACTGATAAAAATCAACCAATTATCTTTTATTGCTAGTATATATGAAGGTCAAGCTAGTGTGG